CACCCACTGTACTTTTGAATAACCGGTAACACCGTAGAACCTACACATTCGGATGGTTCATTTTACGTATTGGCTTCGCGGACTTATTTTACACCAGCATTGTAGGTCCATAGCATCGCCGGAACATATACCCTATACTCGCTTCAGCCGCGGCATTTGGTCCTATTACTTACCGCACTTCAACGTTCCTGACTGCTCAGCAGTCCATATTTTCTCAGCCCTCAACTGCCCCTGCATACTGCACCCCATTTAATCTGCCTATTACGCCCGGCTCTTTCTGTTTACTTGAAGTAACTGTGACACCGTAGAACTCCATCTCCGGTTGGTTCATTTACTATAGTTTGGCGCCGCTGACCCATTTTACTCCACAACTGTATATGCACGACATTGCTGGCACTTTTACCGAAGGTTCCATTCAGCTACGGCAATTGTTCCTAAAGCGTAATGCCCTTTCTTTTAACTGCCTGCTCAACATTTCAGCCTCTTACCCTCTCAACCAATAGATGGCTCTGCTCCGTAATTAATCCGCTTCTTGCCATCACGCTGTTCTAAACCCACGTGACTTATCTGTGACACCACAGGGCCCGAATTCTGTTGTTTCTCCTAATCTATGTTGGCTCCGCTGCCCACGTTTACTCCACAACTGTAAGTCCACAGCAACGCTGGCGCCTCTAGGAGGGTCCTTCAATAAATAAGGTGAATTATTCTGTATAAGGACTTCTAATACAGATAGAAGCTTACTTTTCTATTGTTGTTGTTTTACTTCTCCTTCGCATGAATGTAAGTTCGTTTGCAGCTTGAAAAAATACTTTGAAAGTTTTAGCGATTAACAAAAATGGCCGACCAAGAAGCATGTTAATGGATTGTGCATCCGTCATTTGTCAAATTTTTGGTTGCAGAAGAGTGCAAATAGTTGAAATTCATAGGAGAATGTGAAATGTGTATAAAGCCGCGCGCTTCAGCCGAAAAATGTCTACAATTGGACACAATTGTTTAAAGAAGGACGTAGCAGTATTGAGGATGAAGACAGGTCTGGGAGGCCTGTAGAAGTGAGGTCTCCTGCGGTGATCGAATTATTCGATGACCACACTCAGTCCGAGAGAAGGTTGACAGTGGATGTCGTGGCAAGGACTTTGCGATTATCTGTTGGGAGAGCACACAAAATGGTATGGTATCTTATCCGCTGCAGCTATGGCATTTATTTCTAAACCTTACCGCTCCTCCTCTTAACTGACTGCTCCGCATTCCAAGTCCTTAAACCTCCTGCTCATGATAGGATCTTCCCCGTATTTTAGCCCGCTCTTATTAGCAAGGTCCTCTGTCCATTTGACTTATTCGTGATAACGTAGAGCGCTCTTTGAGAGGTTCACTTAGTCTACCTTGGCGCAGCTGTCCTATTTTAATACGCCATCTTCGGTCCAAGGCCTTGGTTGCCCTGTTATACTCTCAGCGCCACAGCTGTGGCATTTGGTCTCCTAACTTACCGCTCCAACGCTGAGGCTGTCGTCTTAGCATCACCCCACCTGCGTACTGCGCCATCCCTCACGTGCAGCACCGTTGCACATATCCTGTACTTGGCATCTGTAAACGGGTATGCTTGTCACAACTTCGATATTGGATGGCACAGACATTCAGCTGACGAGTTAGTTAATAAATACACACAAACTGAGGTTAAGGGTTCGGTGAAGCCCCATCTCTTCTACCACCCTCCTATACCTTGGAATTCCATTCTAGTGCTGACCTTTACTTTACTGCCAATCAGTGGGACCTGCGGAGAATGATTGAATAAAAGTACCTAGCTCGTTCTACCTGGGTAAATTTCCTGAAGTTGACCCGCGTAGTTTTAACGACATATGTAGACGTCCCGGACCACCATCGGATACACACTGTCCTTCTTGATATACATCTTCAAATGGGTTGCGCAGTTGAGTTCCAAGCATTGTCACCTTCTTAACTTTACCACCAGAATTCTACGTCTTCATACAAACGTTTTTTTAGTCGTGATCCAGAGGCGTCATGCTCCGTCCACTTCGCCAGTAGATCAGTTTCCCGGGTATAACCACCTTCATATGCTTGGCGCCATTAACCCAAAGATTTATCACCCGCCTCGACATTTGTATTCGACATCAATCCTATGCCTTTGTATTGTTATCTATTATAGCCTGTACTGTTGTCTTCTGCTATACTTATAAACTGTAGCGTATAGAAAGATTTTTATCCGTAGACTGTACTGGCTTGAACAACTGGGTTTAACTCATTCTGTCCACAGGTACACCACCTGAAATAGCGGTTTTTCTACCCACAACATGTCTACTTACTTGCGATACCATGTCGTTTTTCTCGTCCTCCTCGACAGTGGACAATTTCTCCTGTAACACCAACTTACTCCTCTATTTGGCGCTATTATGCCATGGATAACTTATGCAACTCGGTAGGGTAGTCTGCTGAAAACATTGTACCTTACGGATAAATATCGGCTAGAATCTGTACTACTGCTCTCATTCATATATGTATTCTGGAAACCACTGCAAGCTCTTAGGTCGGTGTTCTCTGCCGTACTAAGAGTAGCTCCAACTCCTTTTTAATTTTGTAACAACCCCTGAGAAAATTTTAACTCAATGCATGCGTATTGCTTAGATACAGTGGTTGTCCCTCACGGACTGGCCTAGGACGCCTAGTAGACCCGTGGGTTACCTGCTCAGACAATGAAGCCGGATATGTTTTATCTTACAATAATTACGCTGTGAAGATTGCTCAACTGCGGGAATCCGCATCCAAAGCTTCATAGCCCAAGCTCTGTCCAGTAACGCCGGTGGTAACGGTTAATGGTGAATCTTGACTAAACTTTTCGCTCAGCTAACAAAACAGGTCTGCTCTGTAGGTTCCATCAGCAGTGTGGAAAATCAGCAGTAAACTAGCGGTTACAGTGCCTCTATGCTATACAACTTGTGGTCCATAGCAGTGCGCTAGAAAGTGGTGAGTTTCTGTCTGACGTGTGTGCTCCTCATAAAAACCTACGAACGTCTGTTTAACGACGCGCAGAAGTTGCAGCTGTGACTCTCCACGAAAATAGAGTAACTGCTCACTGTTTAACACTGGCAAGGACCCAAATTTTGAAATTCCAGAGCACAGCGGTATATGAGCCATACTTCAACTTTCGTCCGCCTGTGCTTATCAAATTTTCCAGCTGGTTTCAAAGCCAACTGAAAAATGCATCTTAATCTCTGGAACCATTCGAACCCACCCTATATACAATTCCCGCTAGAGAAACACTCAGATATATTATCAAGATTTGGCGCCACATATCTCCCTGATACCATCGAACGGGGCCACCATTCCGGCAACATTCCCAGCAAAATCATATAAAAGTTTCGAACCGTGTATTTTGCCAACACCTGTGATTTTGTGTTTCTGTGGCTCAGTCTACCCCAAGAGCATGCCCTTACTGGTGTATCTCGTGACACAGCGGATTAAACTATTTAGTTATATTCTTTTCATGCTTGGGAAAGCGTGTAGCGGAACTTTCAAGGACTACTCGTTGAAATTTAATTTGCTTATATGCTCATAATCATTTCTCATAATATAATGACTCGAGCATGTCGAGAATGCGAGTCAATAATGGTAGATTTTAATTCGATTTTTACATATTATACCAGAAATGCACTTGAATTAGTCATTATTGTCCAAGGACGGAAGCGTAAATAATGCCAATAAAGTTAGTAATTTATATAACCAATTTTCGTTGCCGTTCTGCTTCAGTTTATCTATTTGTATTATGCTGCTCGCATATGGTTCGCCACTGAAAATGCACCAGTCATGTAATTATGTAACGCATCTTTGACTTGACGTTATTTAACCTATCTATGGCCCATTAAAATTGTGGCGGTAGCTCACAATTCGTAACCACGGCCAGGGCGGACAAGCCACAAAAGCGAAGAATGTGGGTAGGTAACTAACAATAATCTGGTGCTACCCTTAGTTTGGTAAGCGTCCGATGCATTCGCAAGTCGCAAAACAGTACAACTCTGGTTGCTGGTTCCCAAAAAGAACGATTTTGTTTTACCAAATATATGCGTGCTATGTAGAGGAGAGTTGCGACTTTCCTTCTAATGCCGCACAAACGTTATAATATGTGTACTTGGAAGTATTGTAAACAAACCAATAACATTACCCAGCATCCTTACTTAATCCTTACGCCAGAAACATAGACGTTTAAAGTGAGAACGGTGAGGAAGTTGGACACATCCTCTTTCGGATGTACAGCTGGAGTTACTAGATTTCATAACTGAAAATAATGCCTACGTTGAAAGTAGCAATCGCCTCAGGCGTCCAAAAAACCCTCCAACCTGAATGAGAGTAGCTTTGCCCTTGTATCATCGGCCCGTGTTCCAGCAACCGAGAACTGCTAACACATAGGTTACCGATTTCATGGTTATTGCTTGGCTTGCAAGTGACGAGGCTACATAGCGCCTATCGATAGGTGTACACGTCAAGCGACTCCTTGTCAACCTACGATCACCGTGCTTGTGTGTCAGGATAAAATACGCATACGATAGCATACGGGAACCAGCTAAACCGTCTTCGCCTCCTCCTTCACATGTTTACTGTGTTGATAACTGACCTGCACCATACGACGGGAAAAGCGTAGTAGTTCAACAAGACTAATGCTCGAAAATGTAGCTGGTCTTGATGGCGCATACAACCTACGTTTTCTGAAGGATACAGAGACGCAGTTTACAACCTGCGAAATATGCTTCTTTTACTTGACACCTGTTACAACTGGTGGTTTCCTCGTTATCGCTAAATGGGACCAATAGCAACGATTAAATTTAATCACGCCGGTTAATTTAAAGTTCTACTATTCTCAAAAAATCTTGCTCGGTAACATTATACTTCTTGAACAATGCGCTTTTAGTGCGCAAAAGCATAGCAACAGCCTTGAGTCGTCCTTGTAAGTTTTTAGTTAAGGTAGCCTTGTAGCAAGGGAAGGGCTAATTATTGTCATGGCGGGAAAGGGTTTCACTACCGTTGTCCTCGGTAACATCCAAGTTTGTTTGAGTGACTGCAGAGTATATTCTTAATTTTTGTGCTATTAAGGTGCGGGTAATAGAAAATAATGCTATATGGTTTTACTTCGTGAAAACGGTTATGGTAATTTAACGTGATGACTACAGGCGTAGTTGAAGTTCACAGCATAATGGAAAGCAGGCAACTGCTAAATAAAAGTGTAGTGTAAACGGCTGTTTTATGGTGCAACTACGCGGTAACACAATTGTTTTATGTATGTAAAGTTTATACTTGCAGTAAGTTACTTGCTTGGATAAGGGGTATACATATCTCTTGTCAGATTATTGTATTTTTTGTAACTTTTAAAATTGCGATGAATATAAGCGAAATTTACAACTAATATATCTTACCAACTACCATTTTTGTACATACTTAAGCACAAAGCTACCTATACACATCTCTTTCAAATCCAGTTGTGAAAGCATCACCATTTAGCCTGGTGTACCGGAACACAAAGTCCCTCCAGGCTGCTTTTTCATGTCAAAAATTAGCCACTCGCACTCACTCTAACCGCAGTCTATTCATTCTCACTTTTTCTCTTATTTTTCAAATGCATCATGTGAAACCTCTATCTCTAGCAAAACCACGAACGGACAGTATATATATATATATATATTTATATTTTTGCAACAGTCTATGAATAGGCATTGCACCATCGGAAACCATGGAACACAAAACAAGGTACAGAAATAGTAAAAGAAAACACAACACAACAATGTCCACGGTTTCGTCAGAGGGCGAAACACTACCCGGTTGCCCAGGCCGAAGTAGGGTGTTGGCTTAGGGGACACCACCCCGAGCATTTGGCTGAATAGCCTGTCCGCAAGGCAGCGGAGCGAATTCAGGGAATCGCGCCCATTGGGAGCCGGTGACTGATTGATCAGTTCATACGCCTTTTGTTTGTTCCTTTGTCAAACAGGGGCCCAATGCTCCCCAGAAGTACAGCATAAGGTTGCTGGAATACAATGCTTCGCCAGAATGAAGCAAGGGGCAGTGACTTTATTTAGTGGCGAGTCACATCCGCCACGTCACAGTGTTGTTAAACGGACATATGTGGCTTTTTATAGGGAGAACACTTGCCAGGCAAAAACCCACCACGTCCTGGAACACTGCCGCCGAACCATTTGCTGGAACGGGAAAATCCCGAACCACCCAGCTGACACCACGAGGAGGTTGTTCGGCAAGCCAGCTACGAACGGACAGTCGTGAACCATAAACTGTTTATCCCTTTATTTCTTCGATTGTACATTCTATATTGTGCCTGTTTTATTGTGTTAGGTCAGGTCAGGTCTGGTCAAATGGATGGTAGTGGCTTCCGCCTAACCAGCGTCCAGTTCTTGTGCCGGTAAGTGAAGCGGCCGCCGGCACTTCGACGTTGGATTGTCTCTTCTTGCTTTTGCAATGGAATGAAGCAAGAACAAGAGCAATCTCTGCACTTTCATATGCCAGCATCAAAATACACTACATATTCCAGTACATCTACAATATCTCTGGAAAAAGGATGGACCAACAAGTGTTTAAACCCCTTTTGAAGTCTTCTACGGTCCCAGACTCCACTTCCGTTCTGCAAATACACGCTGTTCATCGCCCACTGTGTTCTTCCGTCCGGGGCTCCCGCCCACCGTATTTATCTGTGGATTGCGTGATTAATCGCGTTGTTGTGCTTGTTGTCCTTCAGCTCGCAGATATACCTGGCCTTTCCCCGACTATTGCACACCACAGCCTTCCCCAAAGTTGCAATTGCTTTTGACCACCAGCGTATTCTTTTCGCTCACAGTACATCTGTGCTAATTTTAGCAAATTATATTCCAGATTCTTTACACCACAAATAGTTGCACTTGCCTGACGGCTACATTAACCTAAACTGCGTCTCAGCCTTGGCTCAGCCCATTTAAATACTCCAACCCCAACAATAACCATCTAGAAACGTTAAACCAGCAGTAGATGTTTCCCAGTTGCAGGTCATCTAGGTATTTAATGTGGCTTTTGAAATGCGTTTACACGGTATTAGAAAGAATATACCATTTATCAATGAAATTCCGAATGCGTTTCACTATGTTTGTTTAACTTTTCGTATATGCGAAATCCGTAGTTCCAGTTTAACAACCTCGATTTTACTAACAGAGTACAGGAGATGCTTAATAACCTTCATGACTGAACAATGCTCTGGGAAAGCGCCCGGTAACTGCAAAAGTACCTTTGTTATCTCAACTAGCGCTTCTAAACTAGTCGGTACCTAACACATTAGCGATTCTGTGCTCCTTGCACCTTGAACGAAGTGCCTCAGTGTAAGCGCGTCGTAAAAGCTTCGAACAGCCCATAATGCGATGCAAGCAGCCTCTGCATAGAACGGTGTCTTGGGCTATAAGGAGGTTCATCCAATAGGTCACGAGATCCGCCTAAAACTATCCTTAGACGCAGATCGATCATACTGCGGGCAGTTACCGTTGAAGTGACTGCGTCCAAAACTGTTGCTAGATTTAGATTACATGTGTGGACACCGACCACGCACTTCAAGTTCAAGTTCCGTTGGGACCGGAACGATAAGATAATCCTTTGAAAGTTACTTCTTTTGCGTACCTTTGGATCGGGAATTGATAGGTCGGTTTGAGATGTAGAACAGCCTAAAACAAAGACCGCATCACATCCTGTCCAAACAATTACTGCCCACATTTTCCTGCCCAGTAGTTTCTGCCCGGCCGGTTTATGTGAAGCAGAAGATTGAAGGGTAAGCTAAGAAAACAAGAGGAGGAATGTCAGCTAAATAATCATAATATCATGGTGTGAGACGAAATTAAAAAAACAAAGGGAAAGTTGAAGATACAATTCGGTTAGGGGAAGGTTTGGTACTGCCACCCAAGAGCATTTAACTGACACTCAACACCCTCTACCGTAGACTCCCTAACGACGTGCTCCGGAAGCGAGATCAAACGTTCAATAACTCGGAGCGACAAGCGAGTTTCCTTCCTTACCCGGTCAGGACGCAGTTTATGCAGTTTAAAAGGGTGACCTCGGAGGCTAGGCAGCTTAGCGGAACTTAAAAGCCAGGACAAGTCTGGCCCGATGTTACCCGTTAAGATACGGTAAGTGAGGATCAATTCTCCTTTAATTCTGAGGTAGTGCTCTGAGTAAATACCCCAGCTGAGCAAACGTTCGGGGTACCTTTGCCCCGTAATCCTTGCACTAACCTTGTACCCACTCGCAAAACCCTCTTCAGTTCCATTTTGTCCCTTACAAGACAAGGTGGACAAGCCTGGATACAGTACTCTAAGTGGGGTCGCACAAAAGCTGAGAACGGCTTCACAAAAATATTGGCCGTTAGGACACTGAAGGAGCGGCAAATAAAATACATCATACGGAACCCTCTACAAGCAGCATTCCTCCAATTGTTCTTAGAGTAAAGCAATGAGGTGTGGGTGATACCTAGATCAACCTGCTGAGGGACAAAGCGAGTTCACTTCCACCAACTACATAGCGCGTGGGATGACTGGCAACTCCAATGAGGAGGACAAAACTTTTCGCCTGATTTATAGGCGTCAACTATAAGGTTGATTAACCCCACGGCCTATCCATGGCACTCTGGAATGCCTCAGGGCCACCAGAGATATCCACATTATTCCAAAGCTTGAGGTCATCAACAAACAAGAACAACGACACTTCAAGCCCCTGGAGTAGGTAGTTGAGATAAATTGCAAAAAGCAACGGCCCTAGAACCGAGCACTGGCATGCGCTGATGTACGGATGCGTTTTGTCGAACCCGCAGGACGACGCCATGAACGAATAGAACAACTCGCAAAACCAGGCGTTCTAAATACGTATCGGCGGACGCTGACCTGCGGTTTGAGTATGGTCCTACTGAATACAATTAATGGTCACTGGTCTCATGTTCACCAGACCTAACTAGTAACAAACTAATCCTTATGAGGTAAGTCTAATAGCCAACATGGATATTGGGCCTCTAGGCAGTCTCTGAACCTTATCGCATCTGGTTGACTCATTCTGGCTGGAAGCGAGCACAATGAAGTCTGCAAAAGCTTCCTGGAAAATTTTAGTGCTAGCCTGAAGAGACTGCGGATCCTGGTGTTCTTGTCGTGCGTCAGAGATGGAAGTGATAGCTGCCCTTACTAATCTTCGAAAGCTGTTGGGTCTTGTGCGTGAAACGGCCATCATGAGACCTAGTGTTAGTAAAACTATACGCGAGGAGAGCAGATAGTCCATCAACAACGGGCCAAAACGCTTGGAGTGTTGGGCTAGGCACTCTGAAATGCAATTTAATCGGTCGGAACTGTTAGCTTCATCCCCGACATGTAATAGCCCGGCTTCGTGGGCTGTCCCTTTGTATCCGCTCTAGTGCTTAGAAGTCGAAGGTGAGATCAGACTGCTGAAGTTGAATAAAACCGCAGGACCAGATGATTTTCATCCAGCACTCTTCGAATTCGGGATCCCTGCTCTTGTTGACGATCTACACGATGTACTAGTGAAATGATACGCTCAGGACACTGTCCTAATCGACTGGAGCCGCACCGTTATTGTCCTAATCTTTGAAGGAGGCTCAATTTTGGAATACAGTTAACATAAACAAATCAACCTTTCTCCATCGCTTCCAAATCGTTGGCCTCTGTCATCCTTCACAGGGTGGGTAGCACTTGTGAAGGCCAGATTCGTGTGAAGCAAGCTGGGTTTCATCGAGGTTGTGGCTGAATCGACTGCATCTTCACTTGCGTTAGTTGTTGGAGCAACGTCATATATATTGAAGGTCAGGTGTTATTGCGTTAGTTGACACCAAAGGTGCCTTCGACTCGCTTGACCGATGTGCCTTTGGGAATGTCTACTCAGGATGAGTGTGTCAGAGAAATATGTAAAATTTATCCGACCGCTTTACCTGCGTAGCTTGGGCAGAGTGTCGGCTTACGGCAAGCTGTCACATCCCTTTAATATCTTCGGCAGTATAAAATAAGGATGTCCGCGGT